ATTTCATATCTATTGTATATATTACATTTAAATAAATTACAACTCATCCGTAAAAAGATGGTAAAAAGATGATGGCACTAAATTAAAGCGCAAACATCCGAAAAGTAAGAAAAAGAAAAGCATGAAAAACATATCAATTTATTCAGACAACACAAAATTCCATTCATTTGTCAATTTTTAGGCGAATTTTGATAAGGCAATGGTTACAACATTCAATATAAATACGTTTGAAGCAAAGTAAAAATTCTACAACAGCGTCCGCCACAGCCAGAAATCATCTGCTATTACACAAGACAAGTGCTTCTGCGTTTCAAATTGTCTGTAAGTTAAAATGAAGAAAACTTTGACTACTGCGCAAGTCACCAGAGTTTTAGCCCCTAACCGTAAAACAAAATAGGAAAGATAGACCTTGGAACTGAAGTGAACGGAATCAGATGAGGGAAAAAGATTTGAGGGACTACAGAAAAAATCTTTCAATTTCGTTCTAAAGGATTTTGCACGAAAACAAAATTGCTGACTTGTCACGTTTTTATTAGAATAATAATTGTTATCCACTGTCTGGAACGACATTTTTAGCAAATTTATCAATAAAACTTTTAGAATTAACAGAGAGTGGAGTCAAGGCACAGATTACTACGAAAACAGAAGTAGGCTTGAAGCAGAATTCTACAAGTCTTGCGAGGCAGCAAATTAATCAAATATCTGTTATCTCCAACTGTAATCCTGTTCATTTTTACTGCCTGTGCGAACCATGAAAAGTATGAAATTCTTAAGACGGCGATTTGAAGTGGAATCCCCGACTTGCCGAGCTTAATGTTTAATGCGACTGATAGGTCTAGCTTCGAGCACCAGGCTCCAACTCTATTTATTGGAGTCCAAGTGCCGCTTAACATGGTAAAAGACAGAAAAAATTCAGATTTATGTGAATTTAGTGAAAAAAGTATCTCAAACGCCTTTCTTTCTGAAATTCTAATTATTAAACAGAACTTTTTGAAGAGGCGGAAGTTGTTTTTGTGTGTTCGCATTCAAAAATAAAAACTTTGATCAAAAAATTGCTGGAGTGCAAGTCTTCTAAGCAGCCGCCTCGGTTTCTCATATTTTATTGTGAGGAGTAGACGAAAAATGCTTATGTCAAGCTGCTTTCTTTCATCTCCTTAGCACCTCGGAAAGAGAATACTACAAAAGATCAATTGATACAGCCAAAAAAGACGATTGCAACGATTGCAGCCAGAAAAGCTTCTACTTCTGAATACTATCATACGAGGTTGGAGCAAAAGTTATCACTCGGTCCCTCATCTATCTTTACGAGAAACCTCAATCTCCAATTTTGTAATTTTTTGCATTCTAGTTCCCAAACCGATAATTCCTTCTACCTGTTTTTTCTGCCGTAAAAAGAGCCAAAAATTTGCCAAACATTACCCTCCAAAAAAACAAATTCCTTCGTAAACTTATAATGAATTTGTCAAAATAAGTAATAACTTCTAGAAGCTAAAAAGTACCAAATATTAACAAAGTCAGCAAGAAGGAATAATTTGCTGGAAAAACATCATTTGCTTCAGTTAAACGTCGATTGGAGGAGGTCACACTTGTGCACAACACATAAATCGATAGAGACTTCCTTAGGAAGGTCTTAGGATTAAAAATGTCTTTGACAGTGAAATTAGAATCATCAAAGTATTACCGGAGAAGACAAGCTAGAGAAGAATTTAAAGCAGTCATGTCTCCTGGAGATGAACGTGAAGAATTAATGAAATTTAATAAAAGAAAAGAATTAAAAAAGAGCAAAAAAAATAAGAGCATTGAGAAAAAAAAAACAATAAAAAGAGAAAATAAAAAACTCCTTAGATAAATACGAAGGGTCAGTAGATGTCTGCTAATCATATAGACAATTATTCAGTGGTTAGGTGGTATAAAGTCCAACAGAAACGTTGATAGATGGTAATTTCTAAACCTAGTTCTCTTTTTTCTTTTTCATGCAATACCCGTTAATTATACAACTACACTAATCCTTTAAACTTATCCGATCGACAATCAACGTTAGTTTTCTTTTTCTAAAGTTGATCATTAAAAAATACTCAATTTTGCTGCTTATATTCCATCGATAAGACAAGATCTTGGTTACTTCTTATTTCTTGTACATAACGTATGCAAGCAGACTACTATTTTCTGTCAAACGTCCTGAAATTGACTGTGCATTCAGTTTTTCCTTTTACGTAATGACTGTTATGACCAATTAACCTCCAGTGGATCACACTCATCCTCATGCCTCGTTTGAAGCACAATTTGGTTTTCATTTTGCTCTGCGTTTGAAGCTGTCATGCAAAATTTATAGAGTTCGCTTTTGTTTTATTCTATACCTTTAATGAGCCATAAACTCAAGCTTCTGGTACTGCAAACACCTCTAAAACTGACTACTCTGTCTCACTGTCAATAGCCAAGGGCTTATTACTTCTTTAATAAAGCGTCGACATCTAGAAAGGTTTACTCCCAGCGATAGTCAGTAAACGTCCTAAACGCTTGGAACGCAGAGCAGCACAACAAGTTAAACGACTCCTGCCTAGTTCAAGTGAGCAACACGGCTGTTTCCTCACACCACCTGCGGACGGGTATTGCACATTCACGAGAATCTAAAAATAGTAATGACTCCGAGAGGACCAGAGGTGGAGTTCTAACAGACGTTGAAGTGAAAAGTCACTGTTACTGGAAGAGAGGGCAATACAGAACAAAGCTGCTAGCTAGTGGCAGTGAGTTCACTCTAATCGTTGTCCATCCTCAACTTTTCCCTCGAAAGGTAGACACGCAAGTTTAGAGTTGCTTATATTTGGAGCTGCCTGAAACCAGTATGGCGTCATTTCGCTGCACCTCACTGTCGTTCTTCTGAATTTTCGACATCTAACACTGCTCTAAGCTTACAGACGTATTTTAAAGCCTTACATCACAGGTGTTTTCAGGATCATTTTCAGCATAATCGTTTGTGACTTAAATCCAGTTTTCAGCATCAAATTCAATTTAGTTTATTCTGATTGAAAAAGCAACACCGTGACTTGCTATATTTTTCCTCATAATACATATAACCTGAGAAAACCTGAATCTCCAAAACAGTTTTCTGCCGTGTGAACTTCGGCTGCTTAAAGACTTTTTTCATGACTTTTTTCTTTTTCGCAGTACACTCTGTGTTGACAATTTGTTATTTCTACACCAGCCAAAGTGCAGTAACTTGTTTTCTATATATCGTTCTTTGCCCCAGGAATTTAGAGTATTTTTAGCCCTAAACTGCTTTTGTTGTTCTTGTTGTTCAGCTTACAGCAATGCATTACTCCTTCAACACTATACTCCTCACTATCTCAAGTTACACCTGACCGAGACAGCAATAAACATCTGCATAAAAATATTATGTGCATGACATTCCAAGCATCCATCAAAAAGTACTACCACTACTATCGCCCCTCATTCTTAGCTCCAACCCAATGACTTCTTCCTAGGCAGTAAACCAGGTCATGAAAAAGTAAGAGGACGAGCGACAGCCAAATGTAAAACCCGTTCAAAAGGATGAAGAACGAAAAGTAAGACACTATGACAGACCACAATCCTAGCAGCTACACTCCGAAATGTTAAAACTGCAGTTTCAACCAATAACTGATGTTTAAAAAGTCACCAAACTAGAGTTCAAACGCGTTACTGAAGTGTTATTTATAGAACCTCGGCAAACAACCTCAGTAAACGAACAGCTATCAAGTTTAAGAAACAGACATTACAAGGAGTCTTGGATTTATAAATTATAAATTATGGCATTTGAATTTTGAACACTAAGACTGCTTCAGCTAGATTAGTTTTTTCACTAGTATTACTTCAAAACCTCAAAACCCCCAAATAATTGATTTTAATATTTAAGCTCAACTGTTACTTTCCGAATTGAAGAGTATGAACAAAAAACAGTCCACAAAAATGCCACCAGCAAATTTCCTCCATTAATTGGACTAAAAACGTTACCCTTCCGATGTCTGCAGAGAAATCAGTCTTATACACTTTGGAACTTGGCACACAATAGCTACTGTAAGAAGAGAAGAAAAAATAGAAAAAGCAGAGTTGCAGCGCTAAATACTTGTGAGTGGAATTCGCATATGGGCTAGCTATAAATAGCAACAAAAGAGAAGGACCACGAACCAACGTTTACATTGCACGGTTTAGAAATGCAACAATTTTATTTGTAGAATTTCGCTTGTAAAGCTTTGGAACAATAACAAATGGTTAAGCTAAGAGTAGAAAATAACAGCCAAAACCACAAGTCAGTAAAACCAAGTGAATTTGCTTAATACTTTTCCTCTCCGATAAGCAACAGCTCATAAAACAAAATGTGTAAAAATTAAGAAGACCAAAGAGTTGGAAGGTAGCTTTGAAATAATCTACCTCTACCAAACTCAAGTATGAATTCTTAAATAAATTTAGTCATTGAGATCGTAATTAGAGTAACTTAAGAAATAAAACTCACCACACTTTAAAAGAAATAGCAAGGAGAGAACAACGCATACGCATCAAGTTTCACAAAGAATGAAACATAGCAACGTTCTGGATTGAAAAAGAAGTAGAGGAGACCTACGATTCAGACAGAAATTGCCATTGAAATACACATAAATGGTTTAAAAAATAACAGAATTATAAATATAAACTGCAAGCAGTAAATGACCCGTCAAAACATAGCTACAAAGCTAGCATAATAAAGATATCGAAAAGGAAAAAACAATTTGATTTTATAAGAACATAATAACGTTTTTACCACTTGCTCTGCACAAACCCGTATAAAAGAAATTGCACAGGAACTTAAACAGACATATATTACTACACTAAGAATCATACAGTTCTCAAATTTATAAAAAAAATTACGTAGTACAAAAGCATACTCACCCGATAAATCCTTCAATCTAGTCCGTACGAAAGTGCTTGAGGACTTCTATATATATATTGCAAAAAATAAGTGAATAACTTAGTCGTTTAATTTTGCACTACAAATGAATTTGCAATACCCGAGAACAAAGCAGTCTCATCAAACGCTCTCGCCGACGATACCTTTCGCTTTGATTAGAATTATTAGAGTTAAGTTCAGGAACTGCAACAGCCTTAATCTGCAATTTACAGGTTTTGCGAAAAAATTCACATAGTGCAGAAGGACATCGAAGCTGTAATTTAGGACTTACCAAAGATTGTGCTTTCATTGACAAACCCAGTTTCTCATATGAGTCTGAAAATAAAGGAAAATATAATCTAACAAACTCAAGAAACTGTATAAGTCAACTAACTCATTCTTACTAGAAAATGAACAATTAAGAGAACGTACTCTCTAAAAAATTGATAACTTATAGCAACAAGACTATCAAACAAAAAATCTTATACATTTAAAGTTGTCTGTAAAAAAAACTCGGTATTTTTTGCTGGAATTGAAGATAGAACAATCTCAAAGTGACGAATTCACCCTTACAACCAAAAAGGATGAATGAAAAATATACCGTTCAGGAACTCAGCAACCTCTACTGACATCACTGCAGGAAAGCAAGCAGCGCACGCATCCAGAGTATGCCCGTCAGAGTCCAACAACATTTTGGCGGAAGAAACATAATGCTCAGTAGGATCGCGCATTTGCTGACAAACGATCATCGCTAATGTTTCTAAACCACAGTAGCGAAGACACCGTTGCACTTTAGCCCACATCTTAAGCAGCCTTTCAGTAAAACATTGTAAAGCAAAAAGATTAAACTCTGAATGATACTAAGCAAATAAGCTTCAAGAAAAAACTTAAAAATGTTAGATGCACCACGTTACCAAATCGTCAACTACATTGTCGGGTAAAGGCTGTATGAGAGACTCGCTACAAGCAACACAGGTTTCCATATAAAGAATCAAAGCATCCTCGTACCTTTCATTAACTACAAAAAGGTATAATAAAACGTCTTTTACGGCTCTACAAAAAGTATTTCACCAAATTTATTTGCTTCTTGCAACGAAGAAAGATGGATAAATAGATATTACCAAAATGATAATCAGCACAGGACCGCAGCCAAAATGCATTAATAGGATTTAGTACCAGAGCATTAGTAAGTACCACATCCAGGCATTCACATATGTAAGCAACGTTAAAATTAGAAAAAGACCTAAATAGATTAAATATTCCAAAATTTTCCTGTTATTAAAAGTCGACAATCTTTATTTTGTATGGAGATTTTGAAAAAAGTGAATCAAACAGAAATGCTTAAAAACAAATAGTGCAAAATCTTTGACTTACAAGGGAGGTAACTCCCAAAAATGATCGTGTTCAATAAAGATGTTATTGAGTCCATCAGAATTCCCCAGCGAGGAAATAACGCAGTTATACATTTTGCCGAGAAAACTGAGAAGAAAGGCAATTGAACGAGGTTCCTTAATCATAAAAAACAAGAAAATACCCACTTGATCTACACAAACGCATATCAGTTCCGAAATTTAACGAGTGGAACGACAAATTAAAAACAGTTTAAATCACATACCATTATATATTTCAAAAGAAGAAGAAATTCAGAACGAGAAATTAAATGCTTTGGAAATTCCCGGTTCGCGGGACCATCTCGACGTCGCTTACTACAAATTGAATAACGTGACCGTAAAACATAAAATACCCTAACTAACAAGAAGTTTTCATGCACCAAAAAGTTTGAAAACAACCATAACAGATTAAAAACTGACGAAGAAGTGTCCTCAAAAGTTAAATGCATAATTTTCCACCATGCGCCATCTGCAATCATTTTAGCTCTGGCTGGGTCAGCAGTTATAAAGGCAGCAAGCACTTTTGCCACGTCCAAGAATGAACTGCGCAATCTAAAAAGTGATTTCCAACACCACACATCTATAAGAAGTAGTCAAAAAAAGAGATACTTAAAATTGAAAAATCAAATTAAGTATCAAAATAACGAGATAAAACTTAAGGAACTTCCTCAATAAAAAAGAAAAATTAATAGCAGTGAATGGCATACAGACGAGGATGAAATAAAAATATGGTACTGGTGTACATTAAACCAGCAGCGTTCTGAACGTACTTTTCAGTAAATTTCATAAGATAATCCCATTCGTTCGTATTAATGAAGAAAGTGACTATATGAACCATCATATTGCTTAATGCATGAGTATTCAGTTCAGGAGCCATTGTTTGAACAATTGCTTTTACGGTCTTCTGAAGATCCTGTGTGGTGCGCAAAATGTTCTCATTATTCGTATTTTTATATGTTTTTTCGTGCCAATTTTCTAGCTAAAAATACCACTTTTTTATAATCGGTAGACCCATAAAGGGCACAAAAGCGAACACAAAACAAGAATCCAAAAATGCCTGGAAAAATAGTCATTAGCGACACTAAGTAATACCTTGACCCGCAAGAAATCGAGCGTAAAACGCTTTTTGAACTTATCTTCTTTGCAGATAGAGAAAAGTTCAGTAAAACACTCTGAACAAAACGAATTCATCCTTTCCAAATCCTAGAAGCAATTATAAATACAAAAAGGGAACCTATCCAAAATCTATCAGATTTTTAGTAATTTGCTATGAATTATATTGTAAAAAAACAAACCCCAATTTTGGCAAGATTTTCAAGTTTTCCCAGCAACAAGTATATAAATTCGTAGGTGGGCCAGTTTATTCCTTGCTTGGAAAAATTAATAACTATAGGAAGCACCATATCTCCGATAATTTTGCTAACTTCATACTGAAAGTTGATTTTGAAAGTGAAGGTTTAGTAAACCCATATCGCCATTAATAGAGCAATGCGAAAGAAATAAGCATAATATATTGGATTAAAATATTTCAATCCTTGAATAGCAGCGATCTTTTGTGACCGTTGGCAATAAGAAAAAAATAACAGAAAACAAACTCTGTGTGCATGGGTGAATTTCCCACCTATCTGCTGCCACAAGCCTTTAACTTCACCGACGTCATAACTGAGCAATAAACGCCAGAACGGCACAGTACCACTCAACAGCCCTGAAGAAAAATTCTTTGATGAAACAATCGTGCACAAAGCATTAGCATTGCGCAATTTAAGTGCAGTGGTCGTGGGGAAGGCAGGCGATAAGATTAGAAAAACACTGAAAAGATCAAAAAATACTTTGAACTCTCGATGCATCTGGTAGCAGTGAAATAAACTTTCGAGGAACTTGCCTACTTTGTAACCATAAAAAACGCATCCCTCTTTCTTTTTCGATCTAGAAGAGTTGCGTTTTGTGACACTTAATAATAGAATTTACAAATACGAGGAACTAAAACTGTATAAGTCTTAATGCACACAGCTTCGTGACTAAGTAGAAAAGCATAAAATAGAGCAGCATAAAAAGTACAAAAATGCACCCTTTTCTACAACAAACAGTGATAAAATAGATACACTGAAGTAAAATATTTAAGAAAAAATAATAATTGTAAAAATACACAGAAACCTCAAGTATTTTCTGATTCAATACCAAATCTCGTAAAGCAAAATACTGTAAGACTACTCTCGCACAGTTCTTTTTTTCCTGACTGGTTTGCTGAGACGTCATAACCTCCACTAGTTCCTTAAAAAACTTCTGAAATAATAAAAGTCCCTTCAAAACGCTTCTAAAGTGCGTGTAATAAGGAAAAGGTGCCAAAAAATAAACTTCAAAACTAATCACTCGCAAATTCCAACCAAACCTGCCAAAAAAGGCAAAAAACCCAGCTAAAAAAGTAAATTAAGTCCACTGGTCTACACTACATCGAAATTAACCGCACATTGACTATCAATAATCCACCATCCACAGAAGAAAGCAACTGTGAATCAGCGCCACCCGTAAAAGGTAAGCCCTCTAGACACTCGTTCAAAACATCTTTATAACTTTGTTGGTCTGCTTTTCGCTCCCACACAGAACTAACCTAAAAATATGAGCAGTGTTGGGAGAAATAACTGAAAAAAATGATAAAGATATTTTAAAAAATGATAAACAATTAGCAAAATGTTTAACTCTAATTATTTGGTCTTCTTCATGTTCGTTTTTAAAGTCACATTGTGAACAGTCAACTCCAAGAGCTTTGCAGTAACCAGTCAAAACATTATGATTGATATACGTTAATGTTTCCCCTAGTGACGATGGTTTCCCAACAGATGACCAACCGCTAATTATCTGAAAAGGTTCCACAAAGAAGAAAAAGTAAGTAAGAATGTGTAACTGAGGTTTTACAAATAAATAGATAAATAAACAAACAATATATACTCATTTCATTTAGAAAATAATTCTTGGAACATACTGCTCCAAAAGCAACTAAACCACCTTTGTGCGTCTTCTATTTATGCCCCCCATTTAAGCCTCCATTAGAAATTCTGTAAACACAAGTGAGTTCCATCTTCTGTCAGTAATAAATCGCTTTGCTTAATATAATGCCGCTACGTAATCTTCTGTCTGCTTTGCTTTAAATCCAAAAGAAAAAAAAAAAGAGCTTCTAACATCTGTCTGCCGATAAAAAAAATCACCGCATTTGCAAGACGTCTTGAACAACTTTAATAAAAATCACTTTATTTGTTACTCAAAGGCAACAACTTACACTGCAAAGATGCGACTTCGAATCGTTCAACCTGCCACCTGCGAAATAAACACATAACAAATCATATCGAGTCTGAAAAAAAATTCTAGATAAGAATAGATGATTTTACTATAATGAGAAGCTTAAGGCAAGGGAAGAATTACCAGCACTGAACATATTCTAATTTTCAAAGCATACTAAGTAAAAAAAAAAGTAAAGAGATAAAAACAGTGAGAAATTAAAGAACTCACAATTCTTTTCCACTCAGCTTCTGGAATACTAAATACATTTAGTTCAAAATTCAATTTAGGCATTACTGAACAAGCCGCATCACAAACAGTACTTGAGAGAAGATCATTCTCCTGAAAAAAATGTAAAAGTTACAGGAACATAAACCTGGAATATCAGCAAGTGCACCTACAGAATTGCTTTAAAAAAAGTTTATATATCATAATCATTTCACTGAGGTTTCTACTCGGAACCAAAATACAGACCGGAAAAAATTAAAGAACA